TAGGGTCTGTTGTAATGTCCCCTCCTTCAACCCTTATTCTTGCTATTGAAACTTGTTCCCTCCTTTGGTTAGGTTTGCCGACCTGTTATCTTTTCAAAGAACCAACTTTTAGCAGCATTAATTTTTTCCATAGTTTTCTTATTTTCCCTCTCCTGAATCTCAGGCCTGATTTTTATAATTTCTCTTCTTTTGCTATTAGTAGGATTGTCCTGCTGACTCTGCTCTAGTTGTTGTAAATTTTTTGTCAGCATGTCAATCATGAATCTCTCTTCCTTTCTCAGGGGTGCATGTACAGTATTGCTATGAAACGTCCTCTGATGACTGCCTTTGTTGTGTCCCATAAGTTTTGGTACGTCATGTGTTCATTCTCATTGGTTTCTAGAAATTTCCTAATTTCATCTCTGATCTGCGCCAGCACGCACTACTTTTGCAGTAGAGAGTTATTCATCCTCCAATTGTTTGCTCTTGTTTTCTTCGTCTTCCTTTTGTTGATTTCCACCCTTATGGCACAGTGGTCAGAGAGAGAGGGCTGTATGATATCAATGTGCTTAAATTTGTGTAGATTCGCCTTATCCCCCAGCATGTGGTCTATTTTTGAATGTGTGCCATGTGGGCTTGAGAAGAATGTGAATTTTTTGTATTTGGATGAAAAGCTCTGTAAATATCTACCAGGTCAAATTGTCTAATTGTAGTGTTTAGATCGCTAGTCTCCTTGTTGAGTTTCTTTCCCTGTGATCTATCTTTCTCAGAGAGCGGTGTTGAAGTCACCCACTATAATTGTTAAGGAAGTGATTTCTTTTTTAATCTTTTGGAGTGTTTGGTTGACGTATTCAGCAGATCTCTCATTCAGGGAATATGTTTACAATGCTTAGTGGTTCTTTGTCTACCATTCCCTTGAGCATTATAAAGTGTCCCTCCTTATCTCTTTTTATGGTTTGCACTTTGAAGTCAATTTTACCCATAATTAGGATTGCAACCCCTGTTTTTTGAATTGTTGTTAGCTTGGTATGCCTTTCTCCAGCCCTAGATTCTCAGCTTATTTTTGTCTGTAGCCTTGAGATGTGCCTCCTGTAGGCAGCAGATTGATGGGTTGTGTTTTCTAAGCCAGTCTTAGAATGCCAATTTAATAGAAGAAAGTATTCTTGCATTGAGGGAGTACATGAGTGGAGGCCCAATGTCCTTCTGCTATCTTAATACTAAACCTATAAATGTATGCACATAGATCTAGTTCCCTATCCTCATATATGAATATATTTACATATGTCCATGCCTTTGTTTAGACCTCTATAAATGCCCTTTGCCTCCTAGCTCTTTACTCTATTTCATTTGACTTTCCTCTTGTCCCACTATCATAACAAGCGGCCATCTAGCTCAGAAGTAACAAAGCCCACATGGAAGAAGCACACTAGCCTGTGCAATCATGAGGTGTCGAAGGGATCAGGTATCAGGCATCATCAGAACAAAAAATCTTATCATTGTGAATGAGGGGGCAGTGCGGCGTGGAGACCCAAAGCCCATTTGTAGGTCACTGGGCATCCCCTTACAGAAGGGTCTCGGGGAGGACCCCTAATAAAACGATATTTTAAAATGTTGAAAAAGAGAGAGAGAGAGAGAGAGAGAGAGAGAGAGAGAGAGAGAGAGAGAGAGAGAGAGAGAGAGAGAGAGAGAGAGAGAGAGAGAGAGAAACAGTTCCAGCCATGGAGTCAATGCGGACTCCTGGCAACCGTATAGGACAGGGGTCCTCAAACTTTTTAACCAGGGGGCCAGTTCACTGTCCCTCGGACCCATTGGAGGGCCAGAATATAGTTTTTTAAAAACTATGAACAAATTCCTATGCACATTGCACATATCTTATTTTGAAGTGAAAAAAAACAAATGGGGCCAAAACACCTGACAGGCCACATGTGGCCCATGGGCCATTGTTTGAAGGCCCCTGGTATAGGACAAAGGCAAATGGCCCCTGCGCTTTTCCACAACTTGAACTCTTTAAAAAACAACATTTGCTGTAATAGAGTCAGGGCTTACTCCTAATGACCCCCTGTGGGTCTCAGAACTATAACTGTTTACAGGAGTAGGAAGCCCTGTCTTTCTCCTGAGGAGAAGCAGGTGGTTTCAAACAGCTGACCTTGCAGTTAGCAGCCCAACGCATAACCACTACACCACCAGGGCTCCTGGCCATCACACTAGGGTTAATGAAATGGTTGAGTTAAAGAAATGGTTGGCCAAATATAACAGGCTAATTTTTAAGTTGATCATTGTGTGTGGTCCCCGAGCATGATGCTATAATTATTCAAATGGCCCGTGGCAGAAAACTGGCTCCCCACCTCTCCTCTAGAAATCCAAATGTGCCCCAGAATGATGCAGGCAGTGAGTCTTTTAGGTCTTTGCTCCTGGTCCTGTTCTCAGAGGCCGAGGGGCCCTCTCGGTCGCCTGCTGGTCCTGAGAGTTCCAGCTGCTGAGACGTATGCCAGACGGTGGCGAGAAGCCAAGAACAGCGTGTCTCAGAGGCAGGACAGGGTCCATTTGTGGGGTCATGGATGAAGAAGGAGAAGCACTTCAAGTCTGTGTCAGGGAGGCTTCAATAGGCTCCTTGCAATACCTAGATTCCACCCCTCCCTCGGGGCCTTGGTAAGCAACCCCTTTGCCCCACAAAGCAAGCCATCAACTGCCACCTTAATTACAATGCTGACAGCCCTCCCTGAGCTCCTCAGTCTGTACTGGTCTTGGAACATCAAAACCTAGAGTTCTGTGAGATACCTCTGGCTCTTAATTTCCTACCAGACTTCTTGTCCATCTAGATGTGACCCCTGGTTATCATGCCATCACCCCATACACTTACCCATATGCTTCCTCTCCTCTGACACAAACTGCCCTCTCAGCCCAGCGGAGCACCTGGTTCCTGCCTTGACAACCTTGCCCAGGTCTGAACAGAGCATTCACTTCACTTCATGCACCTCTCCTGCCCTGCCTTAAATATGAACTCTCTCTCTCTCTCTCTCTCTCTCTCTCTCTCTCTCTCTCTCACACACACACACACATACACACACACACACACACACCCCTAGCCTTACCACCTTGTCTGCTCACAACAATAAGGATTTAAATGCATGAAACAGGGCCTCGCGAGTCTGCTGGAGACCTGGTGAAACTGTCAAGACTACATGCCCCTTGGTTCCTCTTCATGCCTGGAATTGGCTCCAAACGTTCAGCCAAGAAATTGACAAGTTCTATCTCAAAAACTCAAACTCACTGTCACCGAGTTGATGTCAAGTCATGGCGAACCTATAGAATAGAACTGCCCCTGTGAGGTTCTAAAGGTATTAACTCTTTATGGGAATATAAAGCCTCATCTTTCTACAGTGTAGCTGCAGGTAGTTTCAAACTGCTGACCTTGTGGTTAGCAGCCCAACGCTTAACCACTACATCACCAGGACTCCCACTCTTCGGTTGTACTTAAAAGAATGTGTGGGGCTGCCTGGCCTGCCTATCTCTTTGGTTCCTTCATGTTTCCTGGCAACTAGATTGCTTTTCACCCCTCTTTAGTGGTCCCCAATCCTTGGGGTGAGGTGAGGGGTCGGGGGAGTGGATTAATTTGGCATCCTTCAGCTTCCTGTGTTTGCTAGCTTTCAGAGTGAAGCTTGGGGATTATCAGGACCTGAACCTCCTTAATGGGGGTATGGGGTTAGTAGATGGGGCCCTTAATTGAGGTTGGAAGGTGGGGAGAGCTGACCGGAGAGAGTCTGAGTAGTGAGCAGCATATTGTCCAGAAGCGGCAGTAGCAATCTAAGGAATCTGCTCTGAGAAAGGAGATTCACTCCACCACGTGAACAGAAATGGACCTCCCAGAAGACCCCTGTGAGGCTCTCACCTCAGCAGCAGGCTCCGCTGGCACCATAAGTGGAGATAGTGTTAAGGGTCCTTGTCAACTAATGGCTCTGGGACTTAGGGTCAAGTCCATTGTAGTAAGGGACTCTACCCCATTTCCCTCTGGGGGCATTACAAACCATTGCGTCTTCCCATTTCCTTGTCTGTAAAGTGGGGTTGATTACCACAGCAGCAAACACAAAACAAAAAACACCTTCAGGATCTGGCCCCTCTGTGAAGATCTTTATTATAGTTATCTTTTTTCTGAAAAGAATACTGCAGAGATGCACAAATAGATGCTGCTATAGATTTATTGACAAAGAAAGAAGCCCACATCACATATTGGCTGGTGAAAAAATACAGAGTCTAAAACAGCACTTCTAGTCGAACAATTTTGTCTATACAGAAGTATACAAGGGTACACAAGTATGGGGAAGGATGAAGACGGATATTCATCCAAGGGGAGCCTGGGGTCACATAATAGTGGGGAGTTGGGGCTCAGGTATTTGCACTTCAGTTTTTGTACTTGCACATTTACCACTTTCACAAAGAGAGTAAAGCCATTGAGGAAATGGACACACGCAGAAAAGAGACCATTAGACAGGCGGGGAGGGGGCAGGGACCGAGGGCAGGCCGTCCACCTCCCCTATGCTGCTATCAGAGGGTTTTCTCTCCTCCTCCCCAAAAGAACGCTGCGCTGTGGCTTTATGTATGCGATTAGAAGCTCTCCCCCTGTGTCCCTCCTCCCTCATTGAACCTGGATTGTAGCTAAGGCTTCACTGGGACTCATAGAGGTCACTGTGCTTGCCACGGTCCCCTTTTGGCTCCTCATCATCCTCCTCCTCATCTTCTTCATCATCATCTTCTTCATCATCTTCATCATCCTCATCCTCTTCCCATTCCTCATCGTCCTCGTCCTCCCCTTCTTCTTCTTCCCCCTCCTCCTCCTCCTCCTCTTCCTCCTCCTCTTCCTCCTCCTCCTC